AAAATGATTATGCAAAATGTGAGAAAGAATCGTGTGACATTGAATACTTAATTATAAAGAAATCAATAAAATAAGCATTATTATCAACAACAAAATGCAAAGGCTATGACACCCAAGAAAAGCTACAATGAAAAGAGTTCCAAAACAATTGTTTGAATCACACCTTAATGCCCTTCAAAATGAAATAACACACATTGAGTTCTCACAATACATGAAACTCTTTTAAACACATTGCTTTTATAAGTCTCATGTTTGGACGATTAAAAGACCAAATAGTATATTCACAATCACTTCACCATTACAAAACTCATACTTGAAGGGTCGTGGATTAGTATGATAACATAGACTATGAATTTGACCCTAACGAGTATATAGAACCATTTTGAATCCTATAAACTATAACCTAAGTCAAAACATACTAATAACTATAGAAATTTTCTTATGGCACCCTAGATTTTTCTAATGTACCATATGAATTTCCACAAATGCCCCCTATTTCCGAAGATGTATCTCTGGACGTAACCCAACACACATTCAACAAAGGTCATTTTGAGTTATGCCTTTTTTTGTTGAAGTTATTCTGGAGATGCATCTCCTGAATTATTCTGTAGTTACATCTCCAGAGACAAACCAATGTCAGATTCAACAGAAAATTGATTTTCCAAAATGAAATTAACATTCATACAATAAAATAAGCATTACAATGATGATTTCAACATAAAATGCAATATTAGATTTCAATATTCTGATGGATGCTTACACATCTTTAGAATATCTTTGACGAATCTTTGTAGCATCTCTTCCAACTCAAGTGGAACTTTTGTTTCGAAACGGAAATACGTATTTCACATAGCCCTTACACACGTTTGCGTCTTGAGATCAAATTTGTTGAACTAAATCTTCCTTCCATTGTCAACCAACGGTGAACGACACTCGAGTTTCATAATCTTTCAATTGTATTTGTAAGGTAAGAGATAATGGATTTCATCTTTGATATATTCAAGGGAGGTGAATTCGTTGAGCTTGAATGTTCGTCGGGTGTAGAGTCGGAGAAGGAGACATTTACGACATACTAATAGATGTTTATTTGTGACATTTGGGACATTTTTAGTTTGTATGAAATATAAAATTAGAGCACCTAAATTTATAGAAGCCATATATCAGTTTGGACCACTCATTATCTGTCATATTAAATCCAGAGATATATCTCCAAAATGACATCCTATTATCTTGTTCCAGAGATGCATATCCAGAACTTGTCCTGAACCAGTTTGAAAATAGAACACTAAAACATAACCTATTTTTTCATTGACAAAAATAAAAATGTTATTATGGGGAAGATAAAAAATTCATAAAGACAAAATACGAACAAAAGGTGAATACATAACACTTCATTTATATTGAGACACAATTACATACAATTATTTGTCCGGTTAAACATGAATTTAAAACGAATCAAAATATATGTCACCGACTAAATCTATATGTGGTACCCCCTTGGACTTTTGTGCATTTAATTCTTTTTCAATATTTTCAATCTCTCAAAGTCTTGCATCCTTTCAATTTTGTTCTTTGATGTGGAGTTTTATGTTGTCACCGGCCTTCAAAAATCTATCTTGTATCACTTCTCATTCGGTCAAAATATAGATATTTGATTTACCGTCATCCATGCATTCATCATCATCAAACCCAAGTCTCTTCCAACAAGTGTAAACCTTGTTCATTCTTATTGGCTCATAAGGTTACATTTTTTTAGCAATAAAATAAGCATAAGGGAGACCATATATGTTCACAATTGTGGATCCACACTTTGAGCTATCGGAGCCTATATTATTAGCTCGGTTGGCCTCATGAAAAATATAGTTTAAACTCGCCCGAGAAATGTTACCAACCAACTGAGAATATAGAGTGTTATCTTTAAATCTGTGTTCCAAAACTATGATGCTCCAACCAAATATTGTTTATATCTCATTATACTAGTTTTGAATCATGTGGTTCACGAAGTTCTAATCTCTACACAAATCCCTCTTACTATTTTCCAACCAATTTTTCAAAGTAGCATGGACAGACTCAACTCTGTTAGTTTTTGTATTTCCAAGGTGTCTAACATTATCAGTCCATGCATAAACATCTTCTCCTTTAGGTCAAGAATTGTGCTTTCAACATATTTCAACAAATTTGGATATTTTTCACACACTTTCCTGAAATGAATAACGGAATCGGCATATAGTTCTTTTGTGGAAGAATTTATTATACGATTCCATGCCTCCATTATTTTTTCCACAACCACATCCGCCTTCACCATTTTTCCATCTTTAGACTATTTGTTTCGTCCCTACTGCGGGTTTAACCCGACTTCTCACATTCTTTGTTATGTGATACCTACAAAGTAATGCATAAGAAAAAGGAAATACCTTTGCAACTGAACTCATCAATGCATTATCACGATCGGTAATAATCGCTTTAAGCATCTCACGTTGGACCTTCAATAATGTCCGACACACCTTTAATGCCCAAGTAAAATTATCCTCTTTTTCACACTCAAGAAATGAAAAACTAACAGAATATGTCTTCTTAGTTGAGGTAACACCAATCATCTCCAATAATAGAAGTCTATAGTTGTTGGTCTTGTAGGTTGAATCAAGTATGAGTACCGTAGGAAACGTGTTGAACAACTTTATGGAATCAGGATGAGTCCAAAAAATATCTCTAACAGTAACTCCATCATTGCACGTTCGGTACCTAGACACGTAAATATTATAAACCAACAGTTTCAAGAGTTGTTGCATCTCAGTTCTATCCCCCGTAAGTGCCTTGTTAGTGAGGTACCGAATATTATACACTTGCTTGATATTTGATATATTGTCGGTCGTTTCCGTTTCAATGTTGCAAGTATATTTTTTGATTGAACAAGATTCAAGGTCATGTCAGCAGCACATTCCTTCTCTTTCGGCTTGAGCCGACAAACACTAGGATGACTGACTAATTTTAAACATAAATCATGGTTATGCAAACCACATATCACATTAAATCTCCAATTTTTGTTTGCCAACATGTAACCAGGAACCTTAAACGGACAATCAATTTTTCTTGTACCAGTGTCGTCTCTTTTAAAATTCCGGAGAGGAGTTCGATATTTCCCACTTCTTTTGCACGTCATTGTCAAAAAGGCGCATCTTCTATCCGAATCATTATTAGACCTTCCAATAACCACATCAAATCCAAGTTTAGAGGTCTCCATACGAATTCATTGAAGCATTTGATCATGAGATTCAAACTCTTGCTTGTTTTTAAATTTGTTGCCAACATTTATCGCCTTTACAACAACACCTTGAACGTTCGGAGAAACAATCACACCTTGGACATTCAAAAAACAACTTGTTTTAGAAAAATATCGAGGTGTACCATATCTAATGAAAACAATTAAAACAATAATAGAACATAAGCGCTACTACTACTGTAGAATGACTACAAAAATGAACATAAACAACTTCTGAAAATGCATCTCCGGACAAGTTCATATACACTTCGGATATACATTTCCGGACACTACGTAACTTTTTTCAAGAAAAAAAGAAGATTAATGTGAGCAGTGCAGAGGAAAAAGAAAAATATTTACCTAAAATTCTATCTTATTTTCCTCCCTATGATGTGATGAACCAAAATGATGGAGATTTGGAGTGAAAAAGTGGATTGAAAATGCAAGATTTTTAGGATGAAGGGTTTGGTTGAAAACCAACTATGCCAACAATGGCTGTGTGATCATGCAGTTGGTTCTTTATCAGATATTTTCGGAGATACATCTTCGAAAATATCTGATATGCAAAGGTGACTATAAATTTTAAAATGACACACATGATTTTTGAGATGCATCTCCGGAATATTTACTGATCTAATAAATAATTAAGATTTTTTTTAAATATTTCAAAGATGCATCTCCGAAATAAAAATAATCTCATATAAAACGCCTTTCAAAATAATTTTATTTAAATATATAAAAAATATGTCCGAAAATATATCTTCAAAAACAAACAGCATTCGTAGAAATTTTCATGTCGCAATATAAAAATATTAGGTGCGTTCAAATATTCTCTAAGTACAGATAACCATGTCTTCCCAATAAAATGTTGATCAATACCCTAATATACACCCGCACCACAAAATGATAAATTAAATTAATTAATGAGGATTATATGAGTCGAACAATTACTCGAGTGAACTAGCATCCTTGTCACTATAAATAGGAGCCTTAACGCAAACCTTAATCATCCACTAATTAATCTAAATACAAAACGTTTTGTATTATGATAATAACACAACGTTGGTAGACTCAACTATCAAATATCATATATGTTCTTGTTCATAGTATATTGCCAGCGAGATTCATCATCCATAAAGCAAGAATAATGTAGTTTAACTTTCACTCATTAAAATAATAAATTTGATTTTTTAATCAACTTTGTTTTATTTTATTACAAATTAATTGTTGACTCGAGTCTTAAACTGTATTTGAAGTGGCTTAGTTTATTGACTATCCTAATCAAATACAGCACAATAAAGTTGGAGTTATATTATCACAAGCTCTTTTAGTTTTCCCTACTGGCCAAGTCAGATAAAAAGAGAAACAAAATGATTATGCAAAATGTGACACTGAATACTTAATTATAAAGAAGTCAATAAAATAAACACTTATTATCAACAACAAAATGCAAAGGCTATGACACCAAGAAAAGCAACAATGAAAAGAGTTCCAAACATAATTCTAATAAACTATACCAATCATCAAGCTTCACATATCCAAAGTACATCTCTCTCCTAATCCAAAACCTCACTCTTTTTCCCTTTTCTTTAACAATCACTTTTATCTTCTCCATTGAGCTTCTCATGAATCATATCACCCTACAACCTTGTTACTTTCCTTAACATATAAAAACACACTCCTCTTAATGCTCATGTTCATCCAAAACCACTCATTTCATTTTCTTCCTCACTTTAACTCAATGGGTCATTTTTTGTTCAACTTCATCTTTCTATTGTCATTATGGTTTTCTCCATTAGCACATTCTAGAAACACACCACACAATGCCAAAACAACACTACTCGATGTTGTTTCTTCCATTCAAAAAACATATCAAGTTCTTAACTTTAACCCAAACCTTAAACAACAACAAAAGGGTTCTTCTTTTTCTTCTTCTTCGTCATCTTTTTCTATGCAACTTCATTCACGAGCTTCCATTCATAATAAACCTTCACATGCTGACTATAAATCTCTAACCTTATCCAGACTCGCCCGCGACTCAGCCCGAGTCAACTCCATACTAACTCAGCTAGATCCAAATTTCAACCCAGAGAAGCTTTCCGGACCCATTATCTCCGGAACGAGTCAAGGAAGCGGTGAGTATTTCTCAAGAATCGGAATCGGTGAGCCACCGAGTCAAGCTTACGTGGTACTCGACACCGGCAGTGACATTAGCTGGGTCCAATGCGCACCCTGCGCCGACTGCTACCGGCAAGCCGATCCTATTTTCGAGCCGGCTTCATCGGCTTCTTACACGCCGATCAATTGTCAAGCCAATCAGTGCCAATGGCTTGACCAATCTCAGTGTCACAACGGTAACTGCCTATATGAAGTTTCCTACGGCGACGGCTCATACACCGTAGGTGACTTCGTTACAGAGACGGTTACAATCGGCGCTACTTCCGTTCGCAATATTGCCATCGGCTGCGGTCATAACAACGAAGGCTTATTCGTTGGTGCAGCTGGTTTACTAGGCTTAGGTGGTGGCCCACTTTCTTTTCCGGCACAGCTCAATTCGACGTCGTTTTCATACTGTCTCGTGGATCGTGACTCCGACTTGGTCTCAACCCTAGAGTTTGATTCTCCGTTTTCGCGTGACGCCGTCACCGCACCGTTTAAGCGTAATCCTGAGTTAAACACTTTCTACTTTGTGGGACTCGTCGGAATAAGCGTCGGCGGGGAGTTACTTCCGATTCCGGAGGCAAGTTTCGCGGTGGATCCTACGGAGAGTGGAGGTGTCATAGTGGACTCCGGCACGGCGGTAACACGGTTGCAGAGCGACGTGTATAAGATTGTACGCGACGCGTTTGTGAGGGGGACGAGAGACTTACCGGCGGCGAAGGACATGTCGTTGTTTGATACTTGCTATGATTTGTCGTTGAGGTCAAGCGTGGAGGTTCCGACGGTGGCGTTTCATTTTGGGAAAGGGAAGGTGCTGGTGTTACCGGCGAAGAATTACCTGGTACCGGTTGATTCGGTGGGGACGTTTTGTTTTGCGTTTGCTCCAACGACGTCGTCTTTGTCGATAATTGGGAATATTCAGCAGCAAGGGACACGTGTGAGTTTTGACTTGGTCAACTCGGTAATTGGATTTTCACCCAACAGTTGTTAATTTGTTTTGATTAGTTACAATGTAACCGTTACATAGGATACGATGTGGTTACTGTTATGCTTTTTCACGTGTTAGTGTAATGAATGAATAGGGGGTGGGGTCCATTTGGACAAGGTTGCAATGTTGGCAGGACCAGCTGAATGTCTCTCCCTCATGTGTTAATCTTATTTATTTATTAAGGATATATTCATGAAATAGTTAATAAATTCTTCAAAAAATTTTAGTTATCAGCCCGTTAGAAAAGAGAGAAAATAGGTGATATATAGACCGTGTAAAAGAAATTTATATTATTAATTAATTATGATCATAAATTTCGTTAAATCAGATGATAATGTTTAAATAATTTATATGACATAAAAAAATAATATACTTTTATTAGATGATAATATAAATCTATTTTACATGAATAATGCATCTTATTTAAGCTTTAAAAAAATCTAGCTTTCTTCTTTTATGAATGGAAGTCCCTATCATTAAACTATATTAAATCCACAAGAAGAAAAAGAAAGGAGGGACCAATCCAAAGGGAGGACAAAAAATCCTCCAAATAATGGCTTGAATCAAACAATGTTTGGTATGACAAATTTATTTGACATATTTTTAGAAATATATTTATAATAAATTTATATTTAAAATATAAATAAAAAATTAAATTATATATTTTTATTAAAAGTAGTACACAATTTTCAAGATTTTATTTTTACTTTTAGTTCTTAACTTGTGCCCTAGGCACAAGTTAACATTACCCTTTATTTATAGACAATTTGATTAAACTTTTTTTTCCAATGAAATAGATTGTAATGAATGCTCCATATCTATATTTTACGGGTTGAATGTACTTACAACTATTGGATCTATACTCAATTCATTTTAAAGGTGGCTATCAACAGTTAGATATGATATAAGGATTATCATGTACCGCGCTAGGAAATGTGAGATGGTTCTAAGTGTCTCTCATATATAATGTATCCCGTACATATTTACAAGGATTTTTTAATCATAGATTGCTTCATTATTTGAATTGATTGATTGGTTTTAGCATTCGAGTGTTAATCTTGTAGATTTTTCAATTCGTTCTACTGCCTTGAAGAGCATTCTTCATCGTATAAGTTAGTTTCACAATCTCAAATCTATCATTTCTGGTTCCTTAAACAGAATAGTGACGCCGTATATGGGAATTGACTTTTAAATTTATGGTGCAGACTATTCCGCAAGTGCACTGAATCAATCACAGTTTTAAAAGATATTGAACTCACAGAGACCAATAATCAACCTTATCGTTATCTATCGATGCTATGTAAATCTAAGGATGTAAATATCAAAAATTGGGGAGGCTAAAACTAAAAGAGATCTGAGGATATATCAATTAAGAGAGACCAGAATGTAGTTTTCAGTGTACCTCTGAGACTCAATAAATTGTTGGCGTTTGTTGTGTTTTAAAATACTTTTCAGTAGAAAATATCAGTTTAAAAACACTACTCACTCTCGCACAACTTGTGTTATATTTCGAAACCACAAATATTTTGCTGTCGCTCACCCATTTACAGTCACGAAACAATTTTTAAAAATCAACAAGTACTAATTAACTGCTAAAATGCTCTCGCTGTTTTTAGAAATTAATCTAGTTTTTACTACCTGGCACGAATCTCACATTGTCGTGTTATTGACCAAAGCCTTTGTGTTTTTACTCTCGCGCAAAACCTTTTTTATCTTAAAACTAAAAAGCAGAACCAGAAAAATAAGTTTTTGTAAAAGTCACGCCAATTCAATTTACCGAGTCTCGTCAAAACGGCGGTCCTCACACACCGGACTCTATAAACTTAGCTAGATATAATGTGCATACAAATCATATTATTATTAGGCATACAAAACATAAACATGATAGAGGTAGATTATGATTAGATTCAGCAACGCAAGCATACAAGTCCATGTTCAAAGAATATAGTTACTAACTAATAATAAAAACATATAAATCTTACAAGAATTGAAATAGTGCAGAAAATCAAATGCGGGAAAACTTGAGTAAGGAAAAAACTTCCGAGTAAATATAATGACAAGATTAATCTTCGATGATCCAAGTAGTGAAAAGAAATCTGAATACAAAGCAATATACTAATCCCTTAATGTGAACGATTAATACTTATTACGCTAAAATACATGCCTAATGAAAACTAGAAGACTTGGATGCCAAAAATCCTAAAAACTAAACTATATTGAATAGCTTCCAAACTTATTTCCAATTCGTGGGTTGGTTTGTTGAGGAGGTCATGGGAGGAGTTGAAGGAGAAATAACTTAGTAGTTGCTGCATTTTTTACCACGAGCGCCATGGTGGGCACCACAGGTGGTGGCGACCACCATCCCTTTGAAAATAGGGAGGCTTAGTCAAACAACTCATGGCGGATGCCACCAAGCCATGGTGAATGCCATGAGTCCAAATTCGTCCTTTATGGGCTTTCCTTTGTGCTACATGCCTTTTTATCCACTTTTGTTCATTTTTGTACCATATTCTCTTATGTAAACCTCAACTTAGCATACCTACAACACATGAATGATAACAACATAACATTATAAAAAAACATGAAATAGACATAAAACAAATGAAATATACGTGCGAATCGAGTCAAAATAATTGTGTGTTTTAGTGTTATCAAACTCTCCCATACTTGAACCTTTGCTTGTCCTCAATAAAATTAGCTAGCATATAATAAACGAAATGTGGCAGCATGATCATAAAGACATAAGGAATAGCAAAGCATCAAAACTAATCATACGTGGCTGATGAGAATTAGTTCGGCTAGGATCGACTCAATAGGTACTAATGCAACACTAAGAGTATTGCAACAACACAAACCACTCTCATGGACACAAGTCTCCCTCCTATGCAAACTAGTTCCAACCATACCATTGAATAAAAGTCTAATTTCCCTATTTGTTTTAATCCTCTTTCATTCATGACAGTCACATTAAGGCCCTTTTATCTCTCTTACAAAATGGTAGGCGGTCTGTTAGTGATTATGGTCAAGACATCTTCATATTTTAACAATTTTCTTTCTTTTACAAATATGCATTTTTTATTTCTTTTAAAGGATTTAACCGCGTTTCTTTGGATTAAGTGGCCTGGTGAGAGTCACCTAACTTAGTAAAACGCGACTTTTCCTTTTTATTCATTTTTATTCTGTCTAAAAGACCATTCACTTATTATTCTTCAACCGTCCCACTTAGTGACTACATATGGTTCATGAGTGGATAAAAAAACTACTATGAGGATTTCCAACAAATAGGGACTCAAGACTAAGATTCAATGGGGACTTAAACTAATGTGCATAATTGGGAGTCTTGAGGTGTTAGGATAATACCAATTTTTTTTCAGATTTTTCCAAGTCTCCTCGTCCTAGCCTCTCCTTTCTTCACAACCTATATACTTTCGTATCAAACCGAGCTTCCTAAGTATTTTCAATTTTTTTTTTGTATGGCTCAAGAAAATGGGGAAATAAATAATCAACCAAAAAACCACGCATAAAGACTAGACATCACATGCAATGACTCAACTAAACATAATTATACTAGCAACAATTAAAAACCTAACAACATGAAATAAACTAGAAAGCGATAAATCTACCTAGAAAGCAGTAAAATGAAAACAATAAAGTTTCTCCCTTACACTTAAATCAAATATTGTCCCAAATATTTTGATAAAAGGCGGAAGAAGGAATGATAGAACCTTAATAAGTGCTATTGTAGGCTGCCACAACCGGTTCCTCTCTGATCTGGCCAATCATCTCTATAACGATGACTTATGCTCTGGTGTCGGCCACTCCGAGATACTTGTATTTGCTAGACCTGCTCTGATAGTGAGTTTTGCGACTCTCACACTTGGCGCATGTTCCCCAGCATTGCAGCTTGGTTTTCTTGCACCAAGGTAAAGTTTTGCATCATCTGATTGTATGTTACCTGTTGGTTATGCACTTGCAATGCCAAGTTTGCACGAGTCTCACACATCGCTCGCATATCAATAGTGGTCTAAGCCCCTGATGCTTGCATATCACGTATGTAACCCCATCGTCTCTGTTTGTTATTGGTACATGGCATAAATCAAGTTGTCTCGCTCATCATCTAGAGACCTTCGACTATACAATTCCTGAAGCAGTTCTTCATACTGGTTGCTTTTAGCGGAGGTACCTGCAAAAGTGTTAGTAACATTTTATATGTGTGTGCAGGTGGAACAAACTCATGGAAGCCTTGCTCTCCCTGGTCATACTCATCATCGGTGTCTCCACCGGTATCGACATTCTCAAGAATGTCCATGCGTACTGGGTTAACAGCAGGAGCGACATGCAAATCATATAACCAATTTGCCCTTACACGCACATCAGTGCGGCTTGGGTTAGGTAGAATAACATTCTTAATAGAAATATTATGCATCATCAATATAAATCATTTGTCTGGCTTTATTCTAACAAATTTCATATTCCTACAAGCACGAATATATAGGGAGTGTGGTTTTAAAGGCTCAAGGGTAGCAAGCTTGGCTTCGAGTCCTAAAGCATGAGCAATGAAGGTGATTAATTCTCCAAAGGAAATGGCTCCCTTTTTAGCGGTGGAAGTCGCTTGCATGTGTGCTAACATAAACGAGACCGAGTTTATCCAACCCTGTGGCGGATTCTCAAATACAACATGCAAATAAAACAATTCTTTAGTGTTGCACCCTAAAATTTGCCCAACCTTATTCACTTGGTTTATGTTTCAATGTCATTAGCATTTGCATATAGAGTCATGTGCATAGTCTAATCATCTGCATAGCATAAGCATAGCAAGTCATACAACAGGGGGACCAATCATTATTCTCATCTCTAGAAGCCTATCAAGAGGTTATTATCCCAATTCAATCTCATTCAAGTCATCAGGAAAGGATTTGAAAGCAAAGAGTTCAGCAGATCAAGCCTTGAGTCCATCTCCTAGCTGAGGGTGTCTGAGGGTCAACAAGAGGGTTGTGAGCTGT